GGGGTTCTGTATTTTAGTTGTAAATTTCGATGTGGTTGTGGGAGGTGCTGGGTACTGCGTTTACCTATGCTGCTATTTTCCCTACTTCTTTATAAAAAATGTTTTTTATTGATTTGAGAGAGACGGGGGAGCGAGAGAGGAAAAAACCCACATTGATTTGCTGTCCCACTTATGCATTCACTGGCTGGTTCTTGTGTATGACCTGGCTGGGGATCGAACCCAAAACCTTGGTGCACTGGGACAACACTCTAACCAACTGAGCTACGTGGCTCCAGGAATTCCAAAGTTAAAAAGTGGTCACACTGTGTGTCTATTAGACAGTTCCCAGCAAAGTGCCTACCAGGGTGGGCAGTGAGTTGCACATTCAGCATCTTTCTGTCCGAAAGGGGCAGAGTTGAGGTGCTCTGACAAAGATGGGAGTATCCTGCAGAGCTGAGAATATAGTAGAATTTGGTTCTTTGGGAAGAGGTTGCTGGCTGTGCATTAACATCGAAAATACCCGCTCAGGAGCATGTCTGTGTTACAGCATAATGATCGTAGGCTGCTTTCTGCCTTGATTCAACTGGTGTTTAAAAAGGAGCCATCGTCTTAGCTACAAGAGACCGTGGCTCCAGCAGGGCCGTGGCTCCTGTCTGATGCCCCTGAGCCCCCGGGATCTGAATGGTCTCCAGCCCCCGGGCCTGGCCAGCCTGTACTTAGACTCAGGACCTCATGTCGGCTGGTCTCCCCGCTCCAGGCTCTCCTGAGCTCCCTGTGACCTGTGCGCCCTGTTTTGGGGACTTTTCTCTTTCTTTCCACAATGGCGTCCCTCCCTCTCGCCCGCCCTCAGTCCCTGGTCCGAGAGCCCCTTTCCCGACGCCGGCAGCTGCTCCGGGAGAACTTCGTGGAGACGGAGGGCGAGTTTGTCTTCGCCACCTCCCTGGACACCAAGGACATGGACCAGATCGCGGAGTTCTTGGAGCAGTCGGTGAAAGGTGAGGGTGCCGCCCCCCTCCCCTCTGCGGTCGGGAGCCGGCCTGCGATCCGCTGTGATCCCGGCCCACCCTGGACGGTTCGCCCCGAGTCATG